CGGCGGCGCTGCCGGCAGAGAGCTGCACGCTGGCCAAGCAGAGGGGCCCGGCCGGCGCGTGGACAGCGGGGCCTGGCACCGCGTGGGAAGTGCCCCCGGGCCTGGGCGGGCAGTGTCCTCCTGTGGGCCAGGAGCAGGTCTGCACAGTGCCGGGGCTGGGGACAGAAAGAGGCCGGCAGGGGGCACGGGCAGGACACCAGCCACATTTCTGCTCTTTAATTGATCTCCAGATTCACAGCCTGACCCGGGCACAGCAGCAGCAACAGCGGCCTTGGGGCGCTGACCACCCACCTAGCGAGAGCCGCCCCGCCGCCCCCGCCGGCCCCGCAGCGCTCAGCAGCGAGCCTGAGAGACGGGGCTCGGCCCTGGCTAACACTCCGCCGTGTCCTGGACCGAAGCGCTGCGTCCTTTGAGCTTTGCTGTCAGGCCGATCCCCGTCCTGGGCCGGGCCCCAGCGCCAGCCCCTCGCCGGGCCTGGGCGCCGGCAGGACGGCTGAGGCTGCTGTGACTCGCCCGTCCCACGCAGGGGCGCTCCCCGCTGCCCCTGGAGGCCTGAGCGGCTCCCTGGCGCCCCCCTCCCCACCCCCTGGCCTTGGACTGCCCTGGGTGTTCCAGTACAGCCGTTGTGAGCAGCTCCCCAAGCAAGGCCCTTCCCGGGAACACAGTGGGGCCAGTCTGGGGGCGCCCCGCCCCTCCCGGTGCGCCAGCCCCTCAGTCTCAGGCTCCCGGTCCGGCGGAGCAACCCCGACCCCTGCGCGGGACGTAGGTGGTGCCAGCAGGGCCGGCCTCGGGGGGACGGGGTGAAGGGGGGCCAGCCTTGGGGGGACAGAGGTGAAAAGGACAGACCTGGGCAGCGTGGCGGCGAGGTGTGGGAGCCCGCGGCCCGCCGCAGGGCTTCTGCGCCGTCCTGGGGCGGCCCCAGCTGCCAGCCTTCATGCAGGCTCCCGGTTGCTGACCTCGGCGCCGGGGGGCGTGTGAGAGGGGCTGGGCTTGAAGACGACCGGCGAAACCCACAGCCCCAGCCGCGGCGTCGGCGCGCAGGGCCTGGAGCTGGGCAGCGGCCGGGCGTGCCCCTCCCCTGCCCGCGCCGGCGCCCGGTCAGCTGGACGTGTGGGCGTTTTGCTTCGCTCCGTTGGTCTTGAGTTTTTTCTCTCCAGCCAGGG